AGGGAGAGAGAAGGGAAGGAAGGAAAGGAGGAGGAAGGAAGGAAGGAGGAAGGAAGGAAAGGAGGAAGGAAGGAAGGAAAGCAGAGGGAGAGGGAGAGAGAAGGGAAGGAAGGAAAGGAGGAGGAAGGAAGGAAAGCAGAGGGAGAGGAAAAAGAAGGGAGGGAGGGAAGGAAGGGAAGGAGGAAGGGAAGGAAGGGATCAGTCTGGGTCAGGGCTTGGGCTGCCTGTGGGCTTTTCTGCACTGCTGAGCCCAGGCGACCTGGGAGCTGCTCCAGGAAGTCCCCAAAGGAGCTGCAACTCGAGGGAAGGGAGCAAAGAACATAGAATAATAGAGCTGGAAAGGACCTTAGAGGTCTTCTAGTCCAACCCTCTGCTCAAGGAGAACCCCGTAGACCGTTTCACACGAGTGGCTGTCCAGCCTCTTCCAGGACAGGACCCAACGCACAGGACACCCCCACCCCCCACCCACCCCCCCGGGGCATTCACGCTATCCCTGCTTGCCTCCCAGGTGTGGCCGGCCCTTTCTTGTGCCCGGATCAGGACCAGGGCCGGGAGAAGATGCCTTATTCGGTGGAAACCCCCTACGGCTTCTTGCTGGACCTGGACTTCCTCAAGTACGTGGACGACATCGAGAGAGGCCAGACCCTCCGGAAGCTGCCCCTCCCCCGCAAAGGGAAGGCCTCCAAGCCGGCCCAGAGCTTCCTCCGCAGCCCAATGGGGGGCTGGGCCTCGACCGAGTCCCTGTCCTCCTCCGCCAGCGAGGATGGGAAGCCGGCCTTCTCCCCGCGGCCCCGAACGGCATCCTACGGAACCAAGGAGCTCGCCGGCAAAGACGGCCGCTCCTTCCCGACGTCTCCTCCGCCGGCCAGCCGGCTTCTCCCTCCAGCTTCCCCCAATTCGGTGGGTCGAGGCAGCCGGGTGGAGACCACCTTGTTGGAGACCAGCAGGAGGCTGGAGGAGGCAGAGCTGGTGAGCGGCGAAGGGCCTGCGGTGCCCAAGAGGACGGGCGGCCCCTCCCAAAACAGCCCGTGTCCCCCCAACTCTGCGTCCTCTCCGTCCGGGGAGGGCCAAGCTGAGCCTGTGAAGACCAGCCCCCCTAATTCAGGAAGGAGCACCCCGGTTCCGGCCGCCAGCCCCGCACACCTCCATCATGTCCGCGAGCAGATGGCCGCTGCTCTCAAGCAGCTGAAGGAGCTGGAGGAGCAGGTGAAGATGATCCCCCTCCTGGAGGAGCAGATCTGCCGGCTGAAGCAGGAGAAGGAGCAACTGGTGGCTGGCTTGGGGGAGAAGGGGCAGGCCGAAGCTGAGGAATCGGGGGTCTTCTGCTTCCCCCCAAAACAAGGCCTCAAAGATGGGCCTGCTTGTCCGGACACAGGAGGGCCCCAGCCCGAGAGTGAGGGAGAGGCGGCCAAAGGAAGGACAAGTAAGATTGCGGAGCTGAAGAAACTGACCGAGCGGCTGACCGGGCCAGAGAGGGCCAGGAAGAGCAGAGGAGCGGGCCGGCCCTCGAGAGTGGAGCAGCCCGGCCAGAGGTCCATCGGAGTCGGAGAGGAGGCGGACATGAGTGAAGTGGTTTGTTACTACCGGAGCCAAAGACCCTGCCGGGAAGCGGCTGTTGGGTGCGAGAGGGAGACGTGCGATGCAGAGGTATGGGTGATGGAGTCCTTCCTGGGGGTTTCGTCGGCTGCAGAGGAAGAGATGGAACTGGTGCAGCAGAGAGTCCAGCACCAGCAGGCCATCATCACCATGCTGGAGGGTCACCTCAAGGAGGCCACCCAGGAACTGGAGGAGTTGAGGGTGGAGGTTTGCTCCCGTAGGCCGGGCAGCCTGGTCAACCAAGCTACCTCGGCCTGTCCAGAGATGGCTGAAGCCGGCGTGGAGGCCGTGACGCCCACCCGGTGCCAGGCTGTGGGCAGCCACGTCGAAACGGCGGAGGCTGGCGTCCAGAGCTTTCTGCAAACGTCCCACGTAGGAGTCGGTTGCAACTTGCAAGGAGGACTGGACGGAGGAGCAAAGCCCACCGAGGACTCGCCACGGAAAGCATCGCCGATCCCCCTGGGGACGGAGCACGGGGGCCACAAAGGGCACCTCCAATCCACAGTGGCAACACCCGATCCCGGCACAGCTGAGGAGGGGTCCGGCTCGGAAGATGCCAGGCAGTCCACCAGTGGCAAGGAAGGGACCGCACAGGACGAAGCAGATACTGGCCGAGCTTTTCCCCTGGGAATGGGCGGCAAGGGCAGCCGTGAGCCCAACGGGGCAGAGGGGGCCTCGGGGACCGGTGAGTGCCACTGTCACATGCAGCACACAAGCTCCAAGCTGAAGACCCCAAACACTGCTGAAGCCCCACATGTAGCTCAAAAGGTCTCCTCTACATTTTCTTTCTGCCCCTCAAAATGTAGGGAAGTTTTCCTCCCCACACAGAGATATCACACACACACACACACACACAACCAGGCCCCTTTGCACAAAAGCCACTCCCTCTTTCCCCTTTCTTCCCCTTCCTCACCCCACTTTCATTCCCCGGGATGAATTCACACAATGCCGAGCATCCCCTCCCCTGACTCACACGAAGTGGTCCACCCCCCCTCCAATCTCCTTGCCCGGGACTTCCTCTGCTTCCCACTGAACGACCTGCGCATCTTGGGTTACGACCCGCCCCCCCAACCAGGACTGCCTGGATGACTGTCGCTAAAGCGATCGAGTCACGTGAAGTTAAAGACTGCTTCACAACGGCAACCCCGGTCGTCCCCGGTGCAGTTGTCACTGAAGGACGACCGGGGTTCACCCGAAAATAAGACCCAACTGGAAAATAAGCCCTCGTGTAATTTTTTCAGGCTGCTCATTGGTTGATAATATAAGCCCTACCCCCCAAAATAAGTCCTGATTAAGATTGTCAGCCAGCCGCATTTCCTTGAAAAAAAATAAGACCTGCTCAAAAAATAAGACCTAATGTGTCTTTGAGAGCAAAAGATAATATAAGACCCCGTCTTATTTTCGGGGAAACATGCGGTATCTGTAAAGGCAGGGTGTCAATCTAGTCATGACAGCATTGGGATGGGGGGGGGGTCCTCTCCTCCCCCATCCTCCACTCAACCAACCCCTCCCCTTCCTCTGCAGGTGCTCTGAAGTCCATAATGAAGCGGCTGGACAGCCCGGCCAAGGCAGATCCGGGGGTCAGTGGGAAGAAGACCCTCCAGTTTGTGGGCCTGCTGAATGGCGAGTACGGACCTCTCCTCTCCTTTGGTGGGAGAAGAAAAACGGAGGGGTGAACCGATCACGGGGCCCCACGCAGCCTGGGGGGGGGAGGAGGAGGATAGGGCTGATGGTCCCCTTGCTCGATGTGGAACTAGCCTCCATAGTCCAGAGGCAGTCTCCCCCCCCCTCCAAACACCAGCACTTGCCGACCCCCGATCTGGAGTACATGCTTGGGGGCCTTTAGAGGGGCGTGGGAGGTACCCGAGAGGCAGGTCTGGATAGAACCAGGCCTAGGAAGAGACCCCTGCCCCATTCAGGAGCAGCCGGCAAGGGGAGAGGGCTTTGGGCTTCCCCTGCCTTGCTTGCTGGTGGGATCCGATTGGGGGTCTTTGGTGAGATGGCAGAGGGGTGGACAAGATGGGTTGGGAGGCCAGCGGCGAGCCTGGGGTCACACCTGGGACCCTGGCCCTCCTCTGACGCCCCCTCTTATGGCAGGTATGAGAGCACCTCTAGTGAGGAGGAGGAAGAGGAGGAGAAGGAAGAAGAGGAAGAGGAAGAAGAGGAGGAGGAGACCCCAGGCGTGGGATCTGCCCACAGCTCCTTCAGCGAGACCGTTGGCGGCTTGGAGGGCGATGCGGCTGCCAGCCCGGATGTCAGTGACAGCAACGAGGAGGAGGAGGAGGAGGAGGAAGGCAGCCCGGGCACAGAGGAGGCACCACCAGGGCACCCAGAGCTGAGCCCTGACCCTGAAGATGCGGCCGGACAGGGAGGAGCAACCCCCAAGGTCAAAGAGAGGTAAGAGCGGCGAAGGACCCCAGACCCTCAAACCATATGCAGGTTCCCTGCCTAGGCAGGGGGTTGGACTCAGGGGTGGGATTCAAAAATCCCAGCCACTGATTCGCTGCTCGGGTGCTGGGTGGGTGTGGCCTACCAGAATTTCCAGGAGGGCTGTTTTTTGGCTTCCCCATAGTCCGGAGGCTTCCCTCGGGCCTCTGGGAGGGCAAAAATGGCCTCCCGGACTCCGGAGGCCCTTCGGAAGCCAGAAACAGGCCCATTTCTGGACCATTTCCAGAAAGGCCGTTTTCCTCCCTCCCGGAGCCTCCTGCACTTACCTGCATCCCAAATGGGTCACATGGAGACTCCTGGGAGGGGTGGGGTGGGGCTGGGTGGGCGGAGCCAGCCAGTCAGTTCAACTACCGATTCGACGAACCGGATGTCAATTTAACATCCGGTTCAAGCTGAATCCCATCCCCTGGTTGGACTAGAAGACCTCCAAGTTCCCTTCCGACTCTGTGGTTCTAAGATGATTCTAAGGCCTCTTCTGGACCTTCCTTGCAGGGAATGGTCTGGATTTTCCCACCCTCACCAACTCCAGGCCTGTTCTTATTCCAGACTCAGTTCCTCCTTCCTGTAAAATGGGTGCATCCGAGGCTCGAATCGTAAAAGCAGCCCGCGTATGTCCCCTCCTCCCTCAGTCAAGCAGTTCCTTGGCTGGGATGCCTCAGCCAGCTGGCTGGGGAATTCTGGGAGCTGAACTCCCTCACCCACCCAAGAGGGAAAAATATTGGACTGGATGATGGAAAAGTCGCTTCCAACCCCTTTCGGTCTGAAGGACTTCCTGGAAAAACTGAAGTAGGCCCTGCTGTGGATCTTCAGTAATCTCAGCTAGAATCTGGAGAAACTTTAAAAATCTTCAATAATCTGAGCTAGGATCCAGGGAAACTTTAAAAGGT